CTATTCAGTAAGAATTATGTATCTGATCAATTGAACACTCCATGTTTCTAAAAATACCCCACATTTCAAGCACACTATCACAGAAAATCAGCAAAGTTTGTTAATATGACATCGAAGAACTAATCACACCGAATTCCTTTCATAAACGTTTATCTATTTATATTCAAGTACATTTGATGACTTTTTCATTTGTGGGGGAAGAGGGTGAAAATTTCTGATATTGAAAAATAATAGTTCTTAGCTGACCATAGCATGATGTAGTCTGATAGCTAAAAATAATAGTTCTTAGCTGACCATAGCATGATGTTGTCTGATATTGAAAAATAACAGTTCCTAGCTGACCATAGCTTGATGTAGTCTGATATTGAAAAAATGACAGTTCCCAGCTGACCATAGCTTGATGTAGTCTGATATTGAAAAATAACAGTTCCTATCTGACCATAGCATGATGTAGTCTGATATTGAAAAATAACAGTTCCTAGCTGACCATAGCATGATGTAGTCTGATATTAAAAAATAACAGTTCCTAGCTGACCATGGCTTGATATAGTCTGATATTGAAAAATGACAGTTCCCAGCTGACCATAGCTTGATGTAGTCTGATATTGAAAAATGACAGTTCCTAGCTGACCATAGCTTGACGTTTTTCCTCAAGTGCGTTAAGAGTTAAACATTTAAGTTAAAATGCTATGAAAAACATATTTTCTTTACGTGAGTTATTAAGTTTATGCTTGGTTTATTAACTATAATATGACTTTATCTCACGTAAGTTAATACGTTCCATGTTTGAGCTTATTAGCTATGATATGGAATTATCTCACGTAAGCTAATATGTTCTATGCTTGAACTTATAATTTATGATATGGCGTTACCGCAAGCGAGTAAATACATTTCATACTTGATCTTACTATCTATGATACGGCATTATCTCACATGAGTTAGCAGATTCCGAACTGGTTATGATATAGCATTATCGCTCTTGAGTTAATAAGCTTCGTACTTCATCATCCTGTTTACGGTATTTTTCCCCCAGTGGCACAGCAGTATGTCTGCAGACTTTCAACGCTAGAACCCGGGTTTCGATATCCGTGGTGGGCAGAGCACAGATAGCCCATTGTGTAGCTTTGTGCTTAATTACAAACTGTAATGAATTTGTTACGTATTTATTTTAATATTAACATTGTTTAGATTAAGTTTATATTTAGAAACATACATAACTTATACTGTTGCATATGTATTGCGAAACTCTCGTCTATTCTCTAAAGTTGTAGAAGATTCTCGAGAGTAAGAATCAGCAATATATCTATACACGTAAGTATTGTTACGTAAGACTGAATTTTCTAGAAAACCTTCCCACGGCTAGAAATATAACCAACGCGATATGCCAAGTGGAGTGTCTATTATTAGTTCGCTATATATGGGTGTGCTATAAAACTTTAAAAGCTATAACTGTGATTTTTAGAACGCTTATCAATCGGAAAATTTAAGATATTCGACCAGGAATATTTATAAATTTCGAACGTTACAAATCATTTAACTTCAGTGGATTCACATCAGACATTAGTAATTTTACGAAGACATATAAATTCATCGTGGAAAACCCAATGTGTGGCCAAGAACAAAACTGGCTAGCTTCCCTGCGGATCGTATCTGCATCAACTCGTAATTAACTCGCTTATCGTGAAACCTCGATAAGATATCAAGGAGGTTCCAGACTAGAAAGAAAACTTTATATTGTTTGTAAGTTTGTGTAACTTCTGTTTATAAACCATTGTTTGTAATAAATATTTGTAATAATTGTTATTGTAAATTGTATTGTTGTGTGTATATTAAAACGCATTTGTGTTAAAAACGAAGACTGTGTGTATCAATCTTGTTGGCAAATATCGTAAATTGACTAAAATATCGGCATATATTTAAGTATTAAATCCAAAGTACAATTTCACTACTAAATTTAAAGTATCAGTTAACTCGGTTTCGGACTATTCGAAATTCTAATACGTAACACAAACAAACAAAATTTACGGTATTGAATTATCTCACGTAAATTAATACTTTTTTATTACTTGATCTTACTAGCTATGATACGCCATTATCTTGCGTGAGTTAATAAATTTTATACTTCTTCTTACTATTTATGATATGACACTGCCTCAAGTGAATTAATACGTACCATATTTAAGCTATGATGCCTCCTAGTGGCACAGCAGTATGTCTGCGGACTTACAACGCTAGAAACCGGGTTTCGATGCCCGTTGTGGGCAAAGCACATCACGGGCATCGAAACCCGTGGTGGGCAGAGCACAGATAGCCCTTGTGTAGCTTTGTACATAACTACAAACAAACAAACAATAGGCTATGATACGAAATTATTTCACTGAGTTAAAGTCTTAATTGCCCCCCAGTGGCACAGCGGCATGTCTGCGGAATTACAACGCCAGTATCCGGGTTTCGATACCCGTGGTGGGCACAGCACAGATAGCCCATTGTGTAGCTTTGTGCTTAATTACAAACAAACTTAAAGTCTTAATTAAAAATACGAATAGTAGTTAAGGCTTTGAATTAACTACAACGTTAAACGTCATTCTATCTTAGTACAGTATACATATATTCACCGAGACTTTTGATGTTTCCTTGATGTTAATTTGGTTTGAGATACGTGACTATTTCCATCTTAAGTGAGTAAATGGTTTCTTCAAAACATTTGTACTAACATATTTATACCCACTCCCCTTTTGATGCGTTTCTGAGAGTCTCGGAATTTTCCTCTCTTTCCCCTTACTGTGGAATGTGAGTGGAAGGACTTGCCCTCAGGGACAAATTCCACTCCCAGTAGAAAGTTTCAATTCTCTGTAAATCAAATTATTTCAGCAACTAGGATAAGAACGATAACTGATGTTCATCATTCTTCTGGGAAAACTTTCTAGTACCTCGGGTTAAGATATAAGGAACAGAACCTTCTGTTGAACGTTTAGCAAATTATAATGTAAATATTTTAAGCATCAGTCCTCAATTTAGTTAGACTTATCTGTTTCCAAGCTCCTGTCTGCATTTGAGAGTATACATAAAAGTGGAATTAAGAAGACCAACGAAAACAGAAGTGAAGACAAATACAAATTTATTTCATTAACATGTTTGTGTCTTTTTTGTGGAAGTTGGTAGTTTAGTAGGTTCAATTACGTGGATAATATATTTGGCAGTTTATGAAACCATGGATTGTATTGATAATCATTTGTATAAAAATTAGTTGAACGAATCATATACTCACATGTTTAAACAGAGGTCTGCTCCCCAGTGGCACAGCGGTATGTCTGCGGACTTACAACGCTAGAATCCGGGTTTCGATACCCGTGGTGGGCAGAGCACAGATAGCTCATTGTGCTTAATTACAAACAAACGGAGGTCTTGCCCACAAAGACGTTTTAAAACGTGATTACTTGACCTTTAAAGGATAAACTTCCTCAGCAAAATCTGTAAAATATAACCAGACTTTGTTTAGTTGTGTGTATGGATATGTAGGTTACACAGTCAAGTTTTTATACCCACTGTGATTACTACGAAGTAGCTTTGAGCGCATAAAACAAAACAAAGCGCTCATTCTTCAGGGTTTTAAACTTTATTTCTTACCGGACCGGTTTACACGATAGCGTAATAATTTTTTTTTTAGGATTATAACTACTTTATTGTGTAGATATCACGTAATGTATAAATATGTGAAATGCTCTTAAAATTTTTATTGTTTGTTTTATATCTTTTGCTCATAACTGGTCTACTCAGTCCTTACAATTAGTTTTACTTACTGCTTTAAAATCAGATAAATTAGTGGCCTACATTTATACCAGAATTAAATTGTAATTAAAAACAACCAACTTTAAACCTGTAAAACCAATCAGTTTTTTAATCTTCTCTGTTACTGGTAAGGCTTGGTTGTTGATTTATTGTGTACAATTATAAAACGATCTAGAAATTATTCAATAAAACGTTTCGTATGGACAAGTCACACACACACACACACACAAACTTTTGTGTATACGGTTGTCAAATGAAATAATCTGAACGATTACATTTAACCTGATGTTCAATACTTGTAGGCAGGCTCTAATGTGTAGTATAAAACAATATGAAATAAACTGACACAAAAAGCTGACCTAATTAATACTTATTTAAAAGAAGTAAACATTTTAATCTGGTAAACAAATAACAGACTGTTTCTGAGTTCTTTTCTTTTATTAAACACAATTTATTTTATATTTTTAGCTCTAAGACCATATGGAAGGATACATTCCTCTAGTCTATCATATGGTGGTTCTTACAATCTTAGCTGGTTTGGGAGTTTCTAATTTGTAATATTAAAAGAAAAAAACAATAAGTATTGTAAAAGATATCACGTAATTGGTTCATACGTGTCTTGATTATGAGACAGGTTTACCAAAATACAGCCGATTAGTTGATCAAAACCCCCAAAATTATGCTTTTTGTGAGCTCTGACCCCTAAAAAGATTGAAAATAGGTAAATCCAATTTGTTTTATGTCAGTGTGTTTGGCGCTTGAAAAGTTATATTTGTGACAGTTTTCATCTTGATTGCTGTAAATATAACCGCAAAGGAACTCAAAATATAAATTTTGGGGTTGTTTCAATTTTGACCCTATTAAAAGGCTTAAATATAAAAAAAAAATGAAAAATGTGTCTGGGCGTACTGGACCAAGGTATAAAACCACCAAGTTCAAAGTCAACCCGCGATAAATTCCCTTAATACAGTGCCATCTAGCGATGTAACGATAGTGATGTTTGGTTCTTTGTACTTTGATACTACATTTGGTTATATATTATTATTATGATGTGCACAGTACGACTGAATATGTCAGCATCAAGCTGTCACTAACACTTTTATTGATGAAATACTTTCATTCTTTTTAAAACACGCAACTGATTTTAATTAAATTAAATATTTGCGAAGAACCTCTAACAGAAATCCAAAAATAATCTTTCATTTCTATAGATGATCATAAGAATAAGACGACAACGTAATCAGGTAAGTCAAAAATTAAATATTCGGAACAGTCACTTACCGTGCTAAATAATTCTTCTGTTTTATACATTCATTTAAAAATTAAACTTATTTTAATAAAGCTTATTTTAGATATGTTTGTTTGTTTGTTTTAGAGCAAAGCCACACTAGGCCTTCTGCTGTGTCCACCACAGGAATCAAACCCCAGATTTAACATTGTAAGTCCTAAACTTACCGCTGTTCCGTAAGAGGACACTTATTTTAGAAATTTTATTCAGTAACATATTACATATAACATATAACAAGTCCAATTACACACTCGATACAAAAATCTATGCAAATACATATAAAATGACTACAAGTTAGTTAAAAAACATTATTCCAACAAAAAAAATCGACTGAAAGGACTATAAAAATAATTTTAACTTTTAAACTTAAATATGTATATACTTTTTTCATAACGAAATTTCTAATTTTCAAGTTTTAAAATTAATT